TTTCTTGCTTAACACTTCACTTGTCAGTCGACATAAAGCGTCCACACAAAACATGCCACTTATACAAAAATATTGCCTATTGTCAAACTCAGATGAAGCTCGTAATCTCATTGTGAATGTGGATCATCAGATAGCTTATACTACTTCTTTGTAGATTGTAATGTGTGTAGAGTTATAAATGCTTAGTGAAGCAGTTGGAATCCGCAATGTCTCACTTCAGTTGTTTCACGTTTCCTGAGATAATGATTGGTATGTTTTGCATCACATGCAGAAGTCAGTTTTATTGCGAAAACGTATATATAGATATTCATTAATTGTGTAATCAAATTCTACTACATTCGCCTTTGAACAAATTCAGCAGCTGATCAACCAGCAACCACTGGAGAAGCGGAAGAGCCACAAGGTAATTTTCAAATGTTTGTTTTCAACAAAACACAAATGTAATACTGAGTGAAATATTTCAATTCTCTATTATTTTCATGTTCAGTATTAAAGCCAGCAAAACTCATATTTAACTGCAGTAAACCTCCGCTGTAGGCTGCATGACTGTGGGGCAGTGTGGAGTAGCTGACAGGTAAATACACACCCAGACATTCATATTGAAAATTCAACACCAAAATCAATTGCTTACCAATACCTGACAACTGTGGTACAGACTCAAATTATTCTATTAAACATGAGTAACTTTCGGTTCACTAAAGAGCATTCAATCTTACTCACTACATGCGATTACGCACTCACTCCTTTCAAAAGCAGAAGCCATCTAAGTCTACACGCATTTCTTACACAATCCAGTTATAAGCCTCGAGAAACCGATCGACCTATCATGAGCTGTTAAACAAATGGCTTATCATCAGTCACAGTCTCCACTGTGGAAGGGAACCACGAGACAGTTTTCCTCGCAAAATTGTCCTTATGGATTGGCTAAGAAACTGGAAACCACCTTGTGGGTGGTAGAATCCCACATATCCATTGGGATATAATTGTCTTTCTTTCTGATATGATCATCATTGCTCATTTTTGTGCTGTGCATTAGTCGATTTCATTGCAAGTCAATTCTCACCACTAATATCTACGTAATCCATTTGAATCTTATTTCTTTTGAAATCAAATCAGGAACCACAGGTGACGATGAAGAAAACGGGGAAGAAGGTAATTTCACAAAGTTCATCTTTAATACACTACGAATATAATCGTGAACAAACTGTTTCTATTTTCTCACTCAATAATATCGCTGTAGAGCAAAAGTGGAGACAGCATCACCATTTTAAGCCAATCAGTCTCAGCCTTAGTCTGAATAGTAATAAGTTACTGCAAACCAGCTGTTGGCTGGATACGCACTGACAAATAAATATGGACAGATTGGTGCGTTAGTTGATCGCTCACCTCCTAAAAAAACAGAACAAACTAGGACATAAGTAGGAAAGATGACAGTATTCTAGTTGACTGGTGAAAGTGGAGGTCAATGTGGAGGCAATATTTCTGTGTACATCCATGCTTACGTCGTAGTTACCTTTTGTTGTAGCAGAAGAATTCATTTCAAACTTTAGGCAAATTACATAACAAGCTTTTACTAGTGCATTTCAAATGAATACTATTTCATAATCCTTTTAGTTGTAGTTGCATTTGCATAATATATAATAGTTTCGTTGTGAATTGAATTCCTTCACTAATATCCATGAAACTCAACTATACGATTTTGCTTTTAATATAGGTTTAACCAACACTCATGATGGTAATTTCAGATTCTCACTATAAAATAATTTATAAGCATAATGGTGAAAATATTGCAATTATTATTCGGTTTATTTATTTTTAATTAAAACATGGTTAAGTATTACAAAGAAGTGTAGCCGAACCCCATAAGTAGATCTTCATCACTCCATCTTCTTCAATCACTGATAAGCATCATCTAGAATAGTATTGAGAAACACGAGTCATCTTATTTCAGATGATTAAAACCGAACGTTCAGTATGTCATTAGTTTTATTCTGCTTGGTGACGAGAGATCAGAGTGAAGCATATCTGTACTCCAGACAGATAGAGCTAACAAAACCGAACCAAACGTGGCACGTTCTAGTGGATGAAGTCCACTTTCATCTTATTAATTTGATGAGAATAGCTTAGAGAACTGTAGCAGTTTCTGAACAGATGTGAACAACTTGTCTAGAATAGCGAGTGAGTTCAGCCGAATATCTATAATAGGATGTATTGATTGACCAAATATTTGCCTGAGTGATTCACATTATTCATTGCCACTCTGTGAAAAATAGGTGGGTTGATTATAAAAAGTGTTAATAGGTAAAAGCGACTTAACAATAATTGTCAAATATGTGGTTGAGCTATCAAAACAGTAGCAAAAACTTCAGAAACCGCATCAAGAAGTAAATGGGAATATTAGAACATAAACAGAGTACTTTAAAAATATCTCAATATATTAGTGCATATTCAGAAAAACATTAACAGTTAGAATAGCCAGTAAATATGAAAGAGGAAACAAAACGAGGAAGAATGTGTGTGAGAAGCCTTAACGATAGTCCCTGTGATGGATGTACTTAAAATATTCTATGGAAGTAGGATAATGTAGCAAAAACAAAAAATGCAGTGTCACAATTTAGATGAAATATTTTCATCCAACGTGGCATTATTTCACTTGCTGTAGAGGCTTAATGTATTTGACCTCACGCATTTGATTCTTTCAGAAGTCCCAGGTAAGCTAAATGTACTCGAATCTTCACAATTCTTGTTCTCAAAATTTCACTCATCCAAAGTTGAAAATTTCATCTGACTGCAAAAATCAACTCACCCAACGTGTCGCTTAAATATCAGTTGCTGATCACTCATCAACAATCACATTGTTGTTTCCTCTGTGAGGTTTAATCCCAAGATTGTGTAATGGACTTCTTTGTCAATCCTGAGAAGCGTAGAATATTGAGAGTACATAGTAGCAATTTGAGTCATAAATGCCTTCTCGCATCTCCATTAATCTCTTTGCTCCCATGATTCATTAACTGTTGCAGATTATGCAAGAGTCATTTTCACTACAAATCAGAACTTCACATCAATATTCATATTTTGATAATATTTACATTTTATTTTATTTCAAATAGTTTCACCAAACATGGATGGAGGTAATTTTGAAAATTTCGTTCTAAGTAAATTAAATTGTAGCCTGCATGCAAATTATTTCTTTTTGCCATGCACTGAATAATATTCACGTTATTAAATCAGCAGCACTTCAGTTTAACTTCAATCAATATTAGCTTTCTCCACCATGACAATGGGAACGTAGGATGTATATATCAGCTGAATGCAAAATCACACCTAAGTGAGAGATTTGACATGATGATGAAGTCTCTCTAAAACCATAGGATGGCAATACTGACTAGAATATATGTGTGGTACAGGACAGCTCGTCGGTTAATTAGTAAAAGCCAAGAGTATGGATTCATACATATACACATGTACAATTCAGATTACCAAAGTGGAGGAATAGATACAGTGTGCTGACACTCAGCTCTCTACTGATTCTCTTGCAACACTCCTCTCATAATTGCACTTGATTTTGTCATCAATAGAACAGCAGCACCAGACAACAAGCTAGAATACTTGATGATCTGAGGCTTGATTAATTCAAAGTATTTCATTCAGTGTTCCGTTGAACCACTGTCTGGTAAACGCAGATAACTCCCTGGGCATGGAAATGGCTCGCTTGTTGTTTGGCTACAGTTAATGAAGTCAAGATTGATAATCACTCGTTAAGGAAATATATTGAATGACGTAGATAAATGCAAAATATTCCCCTCAACAAATTTCATGCTGAATCTTTCTATCTCGAACTGTTGAAGGCTAATGCAAATGATAGGACGTACTTTCGAGATGCAGGACGGAAGCTGAGTTGGATTTGCACGCCTAGCAAACACGGGATCACACAGAGGCGTACGTGAAATATGTTGGAATAATTCGAGAAGAAAACACTAAATGATGCCTAACCTACATACAGATACAGTTGGTAGGAATGATGGAAAAGAAATATCAGTGAGAGAAACACTGATAACACAGGGAATAATCAATGTCCTGCAGGCTCTCACAGTCTTTCTCTCTCATTCTTAAAATGCCTGTTCCAAAAAATAAATGAGTGCATGCAAAGAACAAAACAAATTAACAAATAACAAAATACTAGGTTTCTTCAAAGGGATAGGACTTCAATCAGCAACGCGAAAAAATTCGCAATCGCTAATAAATAGCATGCAGATGACATTTACAAAAAGATTACACAATCTACGAAGCTAATTGATAGACACATTAGGAAATCTGGGGCTTATATTCAGACATCACATTTGTTTGAATAAACTAGATATAGTTGAGAGCTGGAAATATCTCAGTCGATGAATCGGAAGAGTACTGGAGGGAAGTGGCGTCAAAATGAATTCGATTTGTATCCTAGATAAAGCCGATCAGTACATTCGTGCATTGCAGGATAGTTGGAAATAATTAACAGCAAAATGATTCCCATCATCACGAGAAACAACGTCATTTGAGCTTTCACTAACACCAAATATATTTAGACTTTTGAAACAATCTCCCAGAGGAAATTATTGCCGCATTAAAGTTCACGGATGTACTCAAATCCTCAAAGTCAACATTTCATACACCTGATTGTGAGTATGCAACCAGCCAACGTGTCCCTTACAAATAAACAGCTCATCGTTATTCACAGATGAATTTGTCGAGTGCACTGTGAGGGTGAACTGCAAGACTGGTTGCTTCATTTATTTCTCTGTCAGTGCGGATGCGCATCCACGTTCCAAACACAAATGTCCTACAGGTTCTCACAGTCTTTCTCTCTCTCCCTCTTTCTTTCTTTCTGTCTGTCTGCATGATTTATGCCAATTGTCAGACTGACTGTTCACGAGTCTTTTTCAGTGTGAATCACTTCCACCATTATTTATTGATATTCATGAAGTTCTTCGGTATTTTCTTTTCTTTTCTTCCAATAGAAGCAGTAACAACAAGTCCCGATGAAGAAGATCAATATGGAGATGACGAAGGTAATATCACACACACACACATTCATTGGTTTATATTCCACCTTGAGGATGATCGAAAACATACTCACTCTTTTCATAATTATATTCCAGCCTAGTGGTGCTGGATTTACTCGATTTGTCATAGTCATCGTTTCATACATCTGATTGTGAGTATGCAACCAGCCAACGTGTCCCTTACAAATAAACAGCTCATCGTTATTCACAGATGAATTTGTCGAGTGCACTGTGAGGGTGAACTGCAAGACTGGTTGCTTCATTTATTTCTCTGTCAGTGCGGATCCGCATCCACGTTCCAAACACAAATGTCCTACAGGTTCTCACAGTCTTTCTCTCTCTCCCTCTTTCTTTCTTTCTGTCTGTCTGCATGATTTATGCCAATTGTCAGACTGACTGTTCACGAGTCTTTTTCAGTGTGAATCACTTCCACCATTATTTATTGATATTCATGAAGTTCTTCGGTATTTTCTTTTCTTTTCTTCCAATAGAAGCAGTAACAACAAGTCCCGATGAAGAAGATCAATATGGAGATGACGAAGGTAATATCACACACACACACATTCATTGGTTTATATTCCACCTTGAGGATGATCGAAAACATACTCACTCTTTTCATAATTATATTCCAGCCTAGTGGTGCTGGATTTACTCGATTTGTCATAGTCATCGTTTCATACATCTGATTGTGAGTATGCAACCAGCCAACGTGTCCCTTACAAATAAACAGCTCATCGTTATTCACAGATGAATTTGTCGAGTGCACTGTGAGGGTGAACTGCAAGACTGGTTGCTTCATTTATTTCTCTGTCAGTGCGGATCCGCATCCACGTTCCAAACACAAATGTCCTACAGGTTCTCACAGTCTTTCTCTCTCTCCCTCTTTCTTTCTTTCTGTCTGTCTGCATGATTTATGCCAATTGTCAGACTGACTGTTCACGAGTCTTTTTCAGTGTGAATCACTTCCACCATTATTTATTGATATTCATGAAGTTCTTCGGTATTTTCTTTTCTTTTCTTCCAATAGAAGCAGTAACAACAAGTCCCGATGAAGAAGATCAATATGGAGATGACGAAGGTAATATCACACACACACACATTCATTGGTTTATATTCCACCTTGAGGATGATCGAAAACATACTCACTCTTTTCATAATTATATTCCAGCCTAGTGGTGCTGGATTTACTCGATTTGTCATAGTCATCGTTTCATACATCTGATTGTGAGTATGCAACCAGCCAACGTGTCCCTTACAAATAAACAGCTCATCGTTATTCACAGATGAATTTGTCGAGTGCACTGTGAGGGTGAACTGCAAGACTGGTTGCTTCATTTATTTCTCTGTCAGTGCGGATGCGCATCCACGTTCCAAACACAAATGTCCTACAGGTTCTCACAGTCTTTCTCTCTCTCCCTCTTTCTTTCTTTCTGTCTGTCTGCATGATTTATGCCAATTGTCAGACTGACTGTTCACGAGTCTTTTTCAGTGTGAATCACTTCCACCATTATTTATTGATATTCATGAAGTTCTTCGGTATTTTCTTTTCTTTTCTTCCAATAGAAGCAGTAACAACAAGTCCCGATGAAGAAGATCAATATGGAGATGACGAAGGTAATATCACACACACACACATTCATTGGTTTATATTCCCCCTTGAGGATGATCGAAAACATACTCTTTTCATAATTATATTCCAGCCTAGTGGTGCTGGATTTACTCGATTTGTCATAGTCATCGTTTCATACATCTGATTGTGAGCATGCAACCAGCCAGCGTGTCTCTCACAAATGAACAGCTCATCGTTATTCACAGATGAATTTGTCGAGTGCACTGTGAGGGTGAACTGCAAGACTGGTTGCTTCATTTATTTCTCTGTCAGTGCGGATCCGCATCCACGTTCCAAACACAAATGTCCTACAGGTTCTCACAGTCTTTCTCTCTCTCCCTCTTTCTTTCTTTCTGTCTGTCTGCATGATTTATGCCAATTGTCAGACTGACTGTTCACGAGTCTTTTTCAGTGTGAATCACTTCCACCATTATTTATTGATATTCATGAAGTTCTTCGGTATTTTCTTTTCTTTTCTTCCAATAGAAGCAGTAACAACAAGTCCCGATGAAGAAGATCAATATGGAGATGACGAAGGTAATATCACACACACACACATTCATTGGTTTATATTCCACCTTGAGGATGATCGAAAACATACTCACTCTTTTCATAATTATATTCCAGCCTAGTGGTGCTGGATTTACTCGATTTGTCATAGTCATCGTTTCATACATCTGATTGTGAGTATGCAACCAGCCAGCGTGTCCCTTACAAATAAACAGCTCATCGTTATTCACAGATGAAGTTGTCGAGTGCACTGTGAGGGTGAACTGCAAGACTGGTTGCTTCATTTATTTCTCTGTCAGTGCGGATCCGCATCCACGTTCCAAACACAAATGTCCTACAGGTTCTCACAGTCTTTCTCTCTCTCCCTCTTTCTTTCTTTCTGTCTGTCTGCATGATTTATGCCAATTGTCAGACTGACTGTTCACGAGTCTTTTTCAGTGTGAATCACTTCCACCATTATTTATTGATATTCATGAAGTTCTTCGGTATTTTCTTTTCTTTTCTTCCAATAGAAGCAGTAACAACAAGTCCCGATGAAGAAGATCAATATGGAGATGACGAAGGTAATATACACACACACATTCATTGGTTTATATTCCACCTTGAGGATGATCGAAAACATACTCACTCTTTTCATAATTATATTCCAGCCTAGTGGTGCTGGATTTCCTCGATTTGTCATAGTCATCGTTTCATACATCTGATTGTGAGTATGCAACCAGCCAACGTGTCCCTTACAAATAAACAGCTCATCGTTATTCACAGATGAAGTTGTCGAGTGCACTGTGAGGGTGAACTGCAAGACTGGTTGCTTCATTTATTTCTCTGTCAGTGCGGATCCGCATCCACGTTCCAAACACAAATGTCCTACAGGTTCTCACAGTCTTTCTCTCTCTCTCTCTTTCTCTTTCTTTCTGTCTGTCTGTCTCCATGATTTATGCCAATTGTTAGAATGACTGTTCACGAGTCTTTTTCAGTGTGAATCACTTCCACCATTATTCATAATTATTCACGAAGTCCTTCGGTATTTTATTTTCTTTTCTCCCAATAGAAGCAGAAACCACAGATCTCGATGACGAAGATCAATATGGAGATGACGAAGGTAATATCACACACACACACATTCATTGGTTTATATTCCACCTTGAGGATGATCGAAAACATACTCACTCTTTTCATAATTATATTCCAGCCTAGTGGTGCTGGATTTACTCGATTTGTCATAGTCATCGTTTCATACATCTGATTGTGAGCATGCAACCAGCCAGCGTGTCTCTCACAAATGAACAGCTCATCGTTATTCACAGATGAATTTGTCGAGTGCACTGTGAGGGTGAACTGCAAGACTGGTTGCTTCATTTATTTCTCTGTCAGTGCGGATCCGCATCCACGTTCCAAACACAAATGTCCTACAGGTTCTCACAGTCTTTCTCTCTCTCCCTCTTTCTTTCTTTCTGTCTGTCTGCATGATTTATGCCAATTGTCAGACTGACTGTTCACGAGTCTTTTTCAGTGTGAATCACTTCCACCATTATTTATTGATATTCATGAAGTTCTTCGGTATTTTCTTTTCTTTTCTTCCAATAGAAGCAGTAACAACAAGTCCCGATGAAGAAGATCAATATGGAGATGACGAAGGTAATATCACACACACACACATTCATTGATTTCTATTCCACCTTGAGGATGATCGAAAACATACTCACTCTTTTCATAATTATATTCTAGCCTAGTGGTGCTGGATTTCCTCGATTTGTCAAAGTCATCGTTTCATACATCTGATTGTGAGTATGCAACCAGCCAGCGTGTCCCTTACAAATAAACAGCTCATCGTTATTCACAGATGAAGTTGTCGAGTGCACTGTGAGGGTGAACTGCAAGACTGGTTGCTTCATTTATTTCTCTGTCAGTGCGGATCCGCATCCACGTTCCAAACACAAATGTCCTACAGGTTCTCACAGTCTTTCTCTCTCTCCCTCTTTCTTTCTTTCTGTCTGTCTGCATGATTTATGCCAATTGTCAGACTGACTGTTCACGAGTCTTTTTCAGTGTGAATCACTTCCACCATTATTTATTGATATTCATGAAGTTCTTCGGTATTTTCTTTTCTTTTCTTCCAATAGAAGCAGTAACAACAAGTCCCGATGAAGAAGATCAATATGGAGATGACGAAGGTAATATCACACACACACACATTCATTGGTTTATATTCCACCTTGAGGATGATCGAAAACATACTCATTCTTTTCATAATTATATTCCAGCCTAGTGGTGCTGGATTTACTCGATTTGTCATAGTCATCGTTTCATACATCTGATTGTGAGTATGCAACCAGCCAACGTGTCCCTTACAAATAAACAGCTCATCGTTATTCACAGATGAAGTTGTCGAGTGCACTGTGAGGGTGAACTGCAAGACTGGTTGCTTCATTTATTTCTCTGTCAGTGCGGATCCGCATCCACGTTCCAAACACAAATGTCCTACAGGTTCTCACAGTCTTTCTCTCTCTCTCTTTCTTTCTTTCTGTCTGTCTGCATGATTTATGCCAATTGTCAGACTGACTGTTCACGAGTCTTTTTCAGTGTGAATCACTTCCACCATTATTTATTGATATTCATGAAGTTCTTCGGTATTTTCTTTTCTTTTCTTCCAATAGAAGCAGTAACAACAAGTCCCGATGAAGAAGATCAATATGGAGATGACGAAGGTAATATCACACACACATTCATTGATTTATATTCCACCTTGAGGATGATCGAAAACATACTCACTCTTTTCATAATTATATTCTAGCCTAGTGGTGCTGGATTTCCTCGATTTGTCATAGTCATCGTTTCATACATCTGATTGTGAGTATGCAACCAGCCAACGTGTCCCTTACAAATAAACAGCTCATCGTTATTCACAGATGAATTTGTCGAGTGCACTGTGAGGGTGAACTGCAAGACTGGTTGCTTCATTTATTTCTCTGTCAGTGCGGATCCGCATCCACGTTCCAAACACAAATGTCCTACAGGTTCTCACAGTCTTTCTCTCTCTCCCTCTTTCTTTCTTTCTGTCTGTCTGCATGATTTATGCCAATTGTCAGACTGACTGTTCACGAGTCTTTTTCAGTGTGAATCACTTCCACCATTATTTATTGATATTCATGAAGTTCTTCGGTATTTTCTTTTCTTTTCTTCCAATAGAAGCAGTAACAACAAGTCCCGATGAAGAAGATCAATATGGAGATGACGAAGGTAATATCACACACACACACATTCATTGGTTTATATTCCACCTTGAGGATGATCGAAAACATACTCACTCTTTTCATAATTATATTCCAGCCTAGTGGTGCTGGATTTACTCGATTTGTCATAGTCATCGTTTCATACATCTGATTGTGAGTATGCAACCAGCCAACGTGTCCCTTACAAATACACAGCTCATCGTTATTCACAGATGAAGTTGTCGAGTGCACTGTGAGGGTGAACTGCAAGACTGGTTGCTTCATTTATTTCTCTGTCAGTGCGGATCCGCATCCACGTTCCAAACACAAATGTCCTACAGGTTCTCACAGTCTTTCTCTCTCTCCCTCTTTCTTTCTTTCTGTCTGTCTGCATGATTTATGCCAATTGTCAGACTGACTGTTCACGAGTCTTTTTCAGTGTGAATCACTTCCACCATTATTTATTGATATTCATGAAGTTCTTCGGTATTTTCTTTTCTTTTCTTCCAATAGAAGCAGTAACAACAAGTCCCGATGAAGAAGATCAATATGGAGATGACGAAGGTAATATCACACACACACACATTCATTGGTTTATATTCCACCTTGAGGATGATCGAAAACATACTCACTCTTTTCATAATTATATTCCAGCCTAGTGGTGCTGGATTTACTCGATTTGTCATAGTCATCGTTTCATACATCTGATTGTGAGTATGCAACCAGCCAACGTGTCCCTTACAAATAAACAGCTCATCGTTATTCACAGATGAATTTGTCGAGTGCACTGTGAGGGTGAACTGCAAGACTGGTTGCTTCATTTATTTCTCTGTCAGTGCGGATCCGCATCCACGTTCCAAACACAAATGTCCTACAGGTTCTCACAGTCTTTCTCTCTCTCCCTCTTTCTTTCTTTCTGTCTGTCTGCATGATTTATGCCAATTGCCAGACTGACTGTTCACGAGTCTTTTTCAGTGTGAATCACTTCCACCATTATTTATTGATATTCATGAAGTTCTTCGGTATTTTCATTTCTTTTCTTCCAATAGAAGCAGTAACAACAAGTCCCGATGAAGAAGATCAATATGGAGATGACGAAGGTAATATCACACACACACACATTCATTGGTTTATATTCCACCTTGAGGATGATCGAAAACATACTCACTCTTTTCCTAATTATATTCTTTTTTATTCGTATGAAATAATAAAGACGGCAGGATCCACATTGAAACCTTGTCACTCTCGGCTTTGATCCTAATATCAGATAAATTGTGTACCGGATTTTGGGACAGATATGATATAACTCATGACAATTTAGGTGACTTGTCTGCATATATCAGGATCAACGGTTCGTTATCGTCTGTGAGATAAGCGTTAACAACTCTTTTCTTCAAGCATAAAGCAACAAATTGAAGAAATCTGTCAAGGGATTGTTACTTGTCAGTTATGATAAGATGGAAGACGTTGGAAAAATGCTTTCATGTAATACGTCGTCGTTGCACACTTAACTCCAACGATTTATCCATTTCTTTCGGGAATCTTACCTGAGCTAACTATGCATGCATTAAATCAAGAAATATTTTGGTTATAAGACGGTGAATATATACGAATTCTGAAATATCTAACTGCATTCGGTTCTCTTTGTTTCACACAATGAATCATATATCCATATGATTTATCAAAATTTAGTTCCATTTTAAACCAACTCCTACCATAAATCTTCATGAAATCCAATCACATCCTTTTCTTTCTTTCAAATATAATCAACAACCACAGGTGATGAAAACGACGAAGACAGTGATGACAACGATGAAGATGAAAATGAAGGTGAAGAAGGTGATTTCATAAATTTCATTTTTATTTATACCATGAATATTGTCACGAACACTGTATTTCCATTCAGACATTCATTGATATTTGCTTGGAATAATCAAGGCAGCAGTGTCCAAAGTTTATGATCACGCATATAACAACAATTAGAACAGATATGTCAACGCATTGGTACTTGTCAGTTATGATGAGGAGGAAGAAGTTGGACACATACCGTCAATGTTGATGTGAAATAATTTCATGTAGTGCAGCGTCGTTGCAGATTTAACTCAGACAAAATATTTATGCACATACACATCTATTTCTTTCGAAGGACTTGCGTAATCTAAATGAGCATGTATCATATCAAACTATTTCATTATAAGTAGGGGTAATTTACAAATAGATATGTATATATATTACTGAAATCTACCACTTATGAACAAACTCATTATCATTCATCTTAGAACAGAATGATATTTACACTGTGGTTAAGAAACACAAGATAGATTCTCTGATATCTCTGTTCATTCTGAGGCGTGTCGAATGATGAAGACACAGTGAAGCAACTAGAACTGAGTTATATACGATCTTTACATTGAGAATTAAGCTGCTTCATTGATATCTATGTCACTCAACCACATCTTATTCCCTTTAAAGCAGGTTTGAGTAGCGCTCTTCCAGGTAATTTCAAATCATCATTGTTTATTGTTTCACAAGGGGAAAACTAATATTATTGTTAGTATTACCATTATTCAATTCATTTCTTTTCGTGTGTTATACCTGTTCAGGTGAAACGAAGCGATGTACTGGAATTGTCTGGTTCTATAACCGGTTTGAATCATTTGGAATAGTAATGAAAAACAGGCTTCATCTTACTTACGGAGGCTTTTACATTGAACGCCAAATATCACCTGATGATCATTGATTCTGATGTGTTCAAATGATACCCAGACAAAAATGATATGCACCTCAGGTTGACACAAATGACACGACTGCATGTTTTTTACTGGGTACAGTTGAATTTCATGATGTGAATGTGATAACATCAGATGAGAGTATTGAGCCTGATTTAAGCCAGCCACATTTGAACAATTTGTTTACATCAGAAAGCAAATGCTGAGGAATGCCATTGATGGAATGAGTTGTGGTTTAAGAATAATTTGACTGGACGATCAAAATTATTCCTTGAAATGGTTTCCGGAATAGGCGAGGGGAAACCGAACTAGATCAGATGCGAGTAGTTAGATATAAAAGATGATAAATAATAATCATGAAATGAGTAGTTGAGGTCTTCCAAGAACTACCAAATGTGTAGACTTTGAATAAAGAAATTACTGAAAACGTCGTAATTCAAGTTGACCGGTTTAATTCGATCTGAATGCACCAGTGTATTACGCAATAACATCATCAGTGTAGCAGATCGAATCCAACATGTTCACCTGTGTCGCCATCTCACTACCAGCTTCGAAGAGTGATCTGAATTTGCATAAAATGAAGTGAAGTATAATATGAAGTCAGAAAATTGTATTCACAAAAATCTGGAAGAATTCATAGGAGTTGATTGGAGATCATTCATGTTTATCACAGTACCGTCATCATCATGAACAGTTTATTTTTTATAAATTTACTCATTGATTCTCACGTGCACTAGTATAGCTAACAACATCCACATTAAACACCAGTCATTCTGAGCTAAATTTCATTCTTGAATTTGTTTTGTGTCAGCTACTCCTACTTCCGAAACTGATGATAATTAGAAAGAAGAATTCGGCGTGAGTTTTTATTTATATATTTATTTTCGTTGTGTCCATCCATGTTTTCGTTACTTTAGTTTTGTCAGGCTGTCTTCAGAAATCCCCATCACTTCTACAGTCTTAAAGAAAATCGCGTTAATACACACCGACTAATTTCTGGAAACGTTTAAGCTCGATATGATTCAGACATTACTTTTCTGTGAATCAGCCCGATCGTGATGTTATGATTATTGATGGATCTGTTAGACAGTGATGCCAATAATACAATGTGTTCCTATATAGGAATGTGGCACCATATATGTTGATTGGTATTCGATGAAGATATCCGGACATTGTGTGCAGACAATTTCTGCTTCTATAGTCTTCTTCATCCCTGAACGCAAACGTTGTTAAACTTCTGTGTAGAGGACTTCACTTCTCAATAATGAAACAGACTGTTTCATACAATTCTGCTTTACTAATAACTGATTCATGCGATCTACGCCTGTCACTTCCCAGCCAATTCTACACAGCATCTCACCCAGTTGCGTATTTTATTCCGAAGAAACAGTCAAGATGAAACTAAGAAGGAGAAGAAGAAATAAAGGTCACTCACCTCATGACACATTATGCATTACAGACAGTCGAAGTCTGCATCTCTTACATTGAAAGTAAATTTACAGAATCAATTCTCAAAGTTAACTTCAAAACTTCATTCAACACATTCATTTTCGCAGCCACCACCTGTAAGATTTGATGTTAAAATTTAAGTGTCATCTGAATATTCTCGTTTGTTTAATAATTGTGATAGTCATCTGACAATTAGAAAGAAGTAGAGACATCCACTTATGTGACGAGTACTAACTTATCTGATGTGGGGAATAAAAGAATAAAACCAAACTGAGATGTATGCCTTCTTTATGACGGGTTGCGAAAATCTATGCCAACTAGACGGCCATGGAGATTCGACGAAGACATTTTAACTGCTTACGACCAAATCATTGTCATTCTTCATTTGAAAATAAGAACGTAAGATATAATCCACAATCAAAACCAACTGTCATCTTGAAAATCCTTCAGCGAATCTCCACACCGTGTGTTCTGTTGGCCAGTCATTCTTATGGGATTTAGTAGTTATTGTGATACGAATAACGGTTTGATAATGGGAAAATTATTATTGAAATTGCTTACTGAGTGCTCGAGGTAACAAATACCAAATAACTTGAAATCCACTCTAGAATGTCCGCAGGTTTGTGCTAATATTTGAAGATGCACGCAGACTGTGAGAATGAGGGAAATGATGATCGGCTATTTGATATTCAAATGTAACTTCACGAAGTTTTTTCGTTATTTCATCGAATTAATCAAGTAAGCTGGTATATGACGACAATTACCTCCTGTGTTCTTATGAGCACTTAGTCAAGCATATTTTCAAACTGCTAGCACGCACTATCCGCTTCCATGTAAAGTGAAAACCAAGTTGAGAAGCTAATGAACTGAGCTATTTGCATTACAAAACACACTAATTCACAGGAGGATGCCTGACTATTTAGAACATCCTTTTCAGAATTGAAAAATGTTTAAATTAGTGTGCAGAGCTGGTATCAACAGGAAGTCGATGTATTAGTTTCACACTACACAGTGTGAAGCAGCTGTAAACTTCATTCCAGTAGATGTAATACTAAATGTACTGTTTTGTATCGCATTTTAAAGTAACTGTTATATTAATGTTCTGCTGAAACCAAATATGTTTTTCCTATTTCAGAAATGAAGCCAACACTGATTTGAAACTTCTTCAACATGCACTTCATAACAATTGTACTTTTTTGCCATTTTAACTAACTAACTACCATTAACTGAATACATTTGAAACTAACTAACTAATTAACTAATGTTTCCTTCTAACAAATGCAGTCTTACTAATTTAAATACAAATAATTCATGTTCAAACGTTTGCTTCTTTCTTTCTTAAGCTAAAAGGAATTTATGGGATAGGAATTTGGAGAATAAATGCATTTCACAGACTTCATTGCCTACAGTTTCAATTTCGTGATGTTGGTTTTAAGCAACATTTGGCTGGGCATAATAGAAAGTTCAGGTTGTGACAACTGTCACATTTTCAGCACGAGTTAGCGATAATCGTAAATTATCATTTAGAAAGAGGAGTATGATTTCGAGTGTAAAGTTTCAGTGGCTGTACCTTCCATTGTGAAAGGATACATCATTACCGATAAATCATCCAGCTCAGAGAACACAATTACATCAAAACCATCTACCAGAAATACAGATCTTCACCATAACATCTAGATGAAAAAAGAATATCACATAGTTCTTGCATTCACCCCTACATCTCCACTTCAATCTGCTGGTGGTAGAACGTTCCAGCTGTACATATTAACTTACTATATGCCTTGACAAATACACAATGAAAACAAAGCAGTTACAGAATACATGCACATGGACACTCGCTCACATAGAAAAGTTGACGCATAAGTACACTTCTCACATGATCACTGAGTTAAAGGTACTTAATTCTGTGAATAGTAATGATGAATAGAATGGCTCCTTTGAGAAAAACAAACAAACGATAATCACAGCATTTCGCGTACAAATAAGAAACCGAAAATCGATTAGCTTCCAGAGAGGGAAATAGCCTAAACCACCTAGTCTTCCACAACCAAATGAAATTGAGGAACAAGAGAACAAATGTAGGCAATCCCGTGGAGAAACAAATCGGAAATAGGGTTCGTCACAAAGATTCACGCTTCGGAGTATCACTTTAATCTGTAGTTCACTAGTATACACCTCTCCGGTGATGTGCATCAGCCACGACGCCAGTGCGAAGTGGATGGTCATTGACGGCACCAGTTGTCGATAATGCTGTATCGCCAGTTGAAAGGAATTAGAATTCACAGATTATTGTATATGCACATCTTGTCGTGGAGTTAAAAGTTCCACCAAATACATTCATTGATAGAAAATCAAAGTACAATACACAACACGCCAGCAGGGTTTGTAATTTCAACAAAGTAGGTAGAGGTGTTCTACAACGTGGTAACCTTCGACCTTCCATCTTAATTACGTGTATTTGTTACCACTCACTGCCTACAGAACTCAATCATTGGAAGAGAAATAAACTAAACGTGGAAAATACCCATTGGTACATTAGATTGAGTATAAGAAGTTTAGCGAAGATATCTTTTCGGTGATTTTATTTTCAAAATCTGTGCAATCTCATTTAAATGCATAATTTTACATGAAGACAATTCTTGTTTGATTCTACGCAATTATGACGGCGAATAAAATGTGATAATTATTTCCAACTAGTTATGGTTTAACGAGAGGTTTAGAAACAATATTACACAGGATTAGAACGGATATGAAGTGTGTAAAAATGAGCATGGAAATTCAATTGAAAAAAATTTTCAACTTGAGATGGGAATCAGGAGGTGCGAATATAGATAACAAGAGCCTAAGAAACAAAATTACATAGGATTTAGCAAATTACAGGTGTGCAGAAAATGAGCATTGAAACAAAAATTGATATTTCATACAACTGGTACCCTTGATAAATTTCGATAAAGAAAGGAAGACGAAATTTGCAGTATAAAATGATATCATTCTATTTCACAGGTTCTCATCAGCTGCAGATCACCTGAAATTACAATGGTTATATAAATTATAATACCATACTTTAATGTTTGTGTAGTAGTAGAGAAGACATAAAATTGAAGCATCCAAAAAAGAATGAAAGCATTACAATTTTTAGTTTAAGTTATCATCATCAATTTATACACTTTCAAAGTTGAAAAGAGGGGGGAGGGGTAAGACAGAAAACAGAAAAACTGATTAACAGAAACAGTGTTAGCTTGTAGGTTCACATAGCAACTGCAAAAACAAAGGTGGTTACAATTTATGAGATTAAGATTTCTTCAGTGAGTTGAGATCACTGTATTAGATGACTAATTATTGTAATCAAAATCAAAATCCAGTTACCAAGGGAGTGAGAGGTTAATCACACGCTCTTTCCGTATGCATAAGTCTGGTTTAAATCGTTTGATTGCAATCGCTACGGCAAATCATAGTAAATTTGCTGTCCTTTGTCTATTTAATATTTTGAAGGACTTAGAAATCTCTACGAGATGTCCGGTATCAACAATATGTCTGGTAATTACACTCTGAGAATATTTGCTTCCTTTCAGGCATAGGTTTCTTGGAATATGTTCAAAAAACCGGATAGAAGCCCTTCTTTCTGTCCTTCCAATGTACTTGCTCCTGCAAGTGCACGTAAATTCATAAACGCAGTTGGAGGTTACATCAGCAGCGTATTTATCCAGTTTTGAGTGGATTATAGAAGAAGTGGTGTTGTATACTTTTATGAGTTTTC